ACCCATGATATAGCACCCACCATGGAATGGCCTTTTCCCCACCACCCTGTGAGGTCATGTGCATAGGAATATCTGCATCCTCTCTAGAGAGGCCCCCTGTCTGTGCTTCTAGGGCCCAGGCTTGGGGTTCAGACACAACAAAGGGTGCCTCGCTGTGGTGTGTAGAATTAGTGGATGAGTGCACTCCTGCCTGGTCAAAGGAAGTCAGCTGCAAGTGCATGCAAAGGCAGGCTGGCTGTGGCTGTGGCCAGAGGTCCCTGCTCAGAGCCTGGGCCTGGGCACCAGCTGCAGAGGAGAACCACCCCCAGCTTCATCCAGTGCTCTAGCCCAGGCTTGCCGTTCTTGGGTAGAGCCACCTATCACATGTCAGGAGGCCGCCGCTACTGGGATGATATTACAGTCTATTTTGAGGGTCACATTGGAGCATCTGTCAGCCTGGCCAGCCACACCCTCCATGTGTCATCACTAAGAGCTGGGGACACCCACAGGTCCACAAACTCTGCCTGAGCGAGTCATTTCCCCCAGGGACCCACAGCCTCAGGGTTTCCTAACAAGATCGACCTGGATGCCCTTATCTCCAGGCACCAACTGGCAGGGTTCTGATGTCTCCTTGCCCCACCAGAGGTTCCCAGCTATGGTGACTCAGCAAAATTCAGTTGAAATCCATCAGTTTGTTCCAAGCTCTTAGTTCAAACATAACCTCTCCTTTCCAGCTCTCTCATATTTGGGGAATGCCCAGAATACCCAGTACCCTGATGTCAAGCTAGTTACTGACCAGACTCAGTAAGTTTTGTGCCCAACAGTTCTCATCTGCTGGGAAACTCCTACTCAACCCTCAAAACTGTGCCCAGCCTTGCTTTCTCCTATGGAGTCTCTCAGTCTACTCTCTACTGAGCAGGCCACAGGATGCCTGAGGACAAGGCTGGCCTGTGCTGGCTTTACCTTTGTTCTCCCTGCACCTAGTGGGTCCAGCACATAGTAGGTCTGAATAAATACTCTGTGAACCCTTGAAATGAAACCTTTCTAATTAGACAAGCTTAGTGTGTTCTTCTACAGAAGACATCAGAACAAAGACCTTTCTGGAAAACAACAACACTGACATTTATGAACACCTTTTTAAAAAGGAGTGCCATACTCAAATCCACAGAAAAACAACTTTACAGAGACAGGCAAGGGCATCTGACAAGTTAGGCTACTCCCTGCACACCCAAAGCCCTGTAGCCATGGTAGGTCACCAAACACCCCAGGTGCTCAGAGCTTGCCCACAAAACAGGCCCATCATCATCTGCTTCAGCCACTTTCCAGAGATGCCGAGAGGATCAAACTAGATAGTACAGAAAAGTCACATAACCGGTTAACACCTATGTCATGAACCAAACCCAGCCAGGTCAGGAACACATCCCTGACATCGACAGGAAACAGGAAACAAGCTAATCATAGTCTACCCTGTAAATGCCCTTGCCCTTCTCAAAACCACACCTGGCCCATACCAACATCTGACTACATCCTAGCCATGAGAAGGCTTTCAGTGATTCTGTAAGGAGGCCACGAGGGGCATTCATATAGTTGACATCTGATGATGGTCAACTGAAGCAGGCCACCACAGGCATACATGACCTGAGATTTTTTTAAAACTGAGGTTTCCAGGTCAGCTTAACAGCTCTATTTACCAAATATAAAAATTCTGGGAATAGAAGCTGGGAGAAGATGTCCAACTCTCTTTAGATTTGCAGGCAACACCTACAGTAGGTAATCTAACAAGGCACAGGGCCTTTTCAGCAAGATCCACTTATAACTGAAGTGTTAAAAGCCAGATGAAGGAATTAAGGAATCCAAATCTCTTCGTTTAAACACTCCCCCTCTGAAAAACTGTTTTCTTCTCTCACTATTATCTAAGATAAGGACTTTACAGAAAACAATCCATTTTCCTCCCTACGAGTTTAAGAAATGCTCCTCAGTTTCTCTAGCAATATGAGACTCCAGCGTTTCAGTCTACACCATAACTACTTTTGCAGTGTTTGTTTTAAAAGACCATTTCATTCAGACTATCCGTTCTCATTCACACCCATTAAATATGCGTGCTTTTTTTTTTTTTGAGAGGGCATCTCTCATATTTATTGACCAAATGGTTGTTAACAACAATAAAATTCTGTATAGGGGACTCAATGCACAATCATTAATCAACCCCAAGCCTAATTCTCAACAGTCTCCAATCTTCTGAAGCATAATGAACAAGTTCTTACATGATGAACAAGTTCGTAAATATGTGTGCTTTTATCAGATGGTAGAAAGGGGAAATAGAAGCTTTAAAGCTCTCCAATAATATATTTCCTATCTGTAAATGCACCAAATGGGGAGAAAAATGAGAGATACAATAGCCTGCCATGATCAGAATTTCAGAACCATAATTCTGAGGTTAAAGGCAGCTTAGATGATGGCCTAGCTCTCCATAATCAAGGGGAGGTAGATTGAAGAGAAGAGAAGATCAAAGCCCCACAATCTACCCATGACCACATAGCCCTCCTAGGCAGGGATGTTATAACTTTACTAAAGAAACAGGTACAGCTCCAAACTCTGGCAGTCCTGCCTCCAACGTAGCCCCATGGCCAAGCATGTGGCATGCACCACAAAGGGGATCATCCCTAGGAGAGAGGAAATGTTTTGAATGCTCAAGAACACACACTCAGGGTTGGCACAAAGGTCACTGGTGGGGGGTTGGCAAACTTCCCACACCAGACCTAAGGTCTGATGAGGAAAGCTTTTCCAAGTCAGCGGAAATCATGTCATTTCATAACTTAAACACCTGCTTTGTCATAATTACCAGAAAAAAGAGAGACTGGGAGAAAATGAAGAAAAAGAAAAATGAAAAATCTGCCCTCTGATATACTGTGTCTGCTTAGATCACTCTAAAACAGGGAGCCTCCCTAATGCTGATTTTAATGAGGACTTCCTAAAGCTGGTCCAACTGGTGTTCAAGTATGTGAACTGGAAAACAAGTTTATGAGCAAAAAGGTCACTTGATTCTGGCCATGTGCATGCTGTTTACCCTGAGATGACAGGCCAGTGCCACAGCTTTGATGAATGCTATGAAGACTCTATTACCCCTTTGAAGCCTACAGGGGCCTCTATGTGACTAAATGTCATGAAAACGAACCTTGAATGAAGCCAGAGTGTGAAAGGAGGGGAGTCACAAACCCATCTGGACACTGAAGTGTTAATGTAAACTGTTACTTGTTTCCCTGACCTGTGAGATATCTCATTACATCACCACTAAAGAGAAGTCCCCTCTTCTACCCTCAGTGCCTACTTGCCATCAAGGGCTGCTGCTCAGACTGGGTCATGCCCAAAGTCAGGCAGGTAACAAAGGCAGGCCACTATTCAACACTCTGCAGCCCAGATCCATGCCACTCAGTAGCTCACATTGGTCACAAGGGTCAGCCAGGAGACCCTGAACTCTGACCACAGTGAACAGCTTGGTGTTGAGGGAAAGAAGGTGGTAAGAAGGGGCTTACCCATCTCTTCCTTTGCTTACAATCTTCACCTCAAAGTAATAAATGCCACAGGCAGCAGGTATGGGATGGGTGGCACGTACAGAGGCAGCATCTTTGTGATTTTTGCCATGACCTAAAGGAGAAGGCAAGAAGAAATTTCAGCAGAAGGAAATGCAAATGGAAGCCTCATTCTTCTCTGCTCCATGGCAACTTCACCCTTCTATGGCCAGAGGAAGCCCTTACATAGTCCAAGGAATAATTAGACAACAACTGAGCAAATACATAAACCTCCCGCCTTTGGCTCACCTCTTCCTGAGAAGAGCAGCCCTGCCTGAGACACTGTCTCCCATACAAAGCAAAGGAGGGCACAGGCAATGGGGGTGCATATAAGAGACTTCCAAGTGCTGCCGGCAGTCTCTCCAAAATGCAGGCAGCCCACCTGGGAGACCAGGGAAGTAGGCAGCCCTGGAAGACACCGGCCCTCCCCCCAACTTTAGTACAGAACTCCAGGCCTTGTGTGGAATGTCTGGCAGGTAGAAGCCCATGGGCCTTTGGCTAATGGAAGGGATGTGACCACCCCTTTCTTCAGACACTCCCAAAACTAAGCGGTGGTGAAAGGCCCCCTGAAGTTGGGGCTATCCCGGGACAAGAAGGCAGGCCCTAGGATGGAAGGTCTGGCCCAGAACCTGTTGCAATTCTCTTGACATTAGGGTGTCTCAGGGCAGAGCAGAGTAGGCAGTCGATCCTCGGCCTGATCGGCTCCGCACCCTGGACATCCCGCAGAGACTGAAGGCCTAACCTGGAGCACCCGAGCGGCAGAAGGAACGTGATGGGGTACGGGCCAGGCAGCACAGTAGCCCGCACACGCTGTGGCGTTTGCCCCCCATGGCCAAACAGGCCAATACCTTTGTAGTGGACGCGGAGGTTGCCCTGGGAGAGGCCGATGTAGTTGTACTTGTCCTTGGGGCTCCAGGAGCGCGGCAGCGGCGTCTCGTGCTGGTTGACAGCCGGGTACAGGCGCTGCAGGCGCCGGCTCAGTTCCTGCTCTCCCGGGGACGGCAGCCCGCCGCCGGCGCTTCCGCCGGAGGAGTCTCCAGCCTGCGGGCTCCCAGCTCCCGGGTCCGCCGTCGCCGCCGCCATCTTGGAGGGAGCTGCTATTGTGTCACTGGGGGCGGGGAGGAGCGAGACCAGATCCGCCCCACTCAGCCAATGGCCCTCGAGCCTTCCGGGGCCGCAGGGAAACCGAGTCCCAGACCGGCGCCTCTCTTTGGACACTGACACGCCTCTCCATATTTCGGACTTCATATCCCACAGTGCAGAGCTCTCCAGAGGCGGGCCAAGTCAGACTGATCGGGAACTGTGGGAGATGAAGTACAAATCTGCCCAGCCATAAGCCTGCTCCGCGGAGATTTAGGGGCACCGAAAACTACAATTCCCACTGGCAACGCGGCTCAGGCCTCTCGGTTCACCTCCTTCTCCCATGGCCTCTGTTTATCCCCTGCCTCAGTTCTGGCAGTTAGGGGCAAAACCACCGTAGGGACTGACTCTGAGGAGACCCATCTCCCAGGTCTGAGTCCATCTTTGCTTCTTGGCCTTCCTCCAGCCGGCGGGATCGGGGATCGGGGGCGTGGCGCAACCTTGACCCCGCCCCCGCCGCTGGGCTGCTGGGGCCTTGTCGCCATGGTGACGGGCTGTACACTACCACAGTTTCCCAGCACCCTGGTTCCGGCAGCGCTGAGGCCACAGGGTCATGGCCTCCCCGAAACCGCGAAGCTCCAGCTTCACCACCACGTCGAGGTAGGCGCTGGCCGGGCTATGGGCGGAGAGGAGAGCTTGAGTATTTTCAGAAAGAGAAATTGTACCTCCTGGCCCTGTCCGTTGGTCTGGGGCTCCAGCCCCACAGGGTAGGTGGCGCAGAAACTTTTAAAGTCCGGGCTGATTTTTCAACCCAATGAGGAAGTTACGTGCTAACAAAAGGGCAGGCGTACTTCATCCTTAGTAACAGCCGGCTTGTTTGTACTGTACCTCTGTTATGTGCCAGGTGCTTTATATACCACATCTAACACAAGAACTCTGTGATGTAGTAATATTACCATTTTACTAACGAAGACATAGAAGCCTGGAGAGATCATGTGTTTTACACATGTTTATAAGTGGTAGAAGTAGGACTTGAACCCAGCCAATTGAGACTTCTCAACCTGAGCTCTTGGACACAGAGTTAAACGGCCTCTTCACTTACCAGTTTATGACAAAGATGCTTGTCGAATTGCTGGTTAACTCTGAGCAGTCAGGCACAACCCACAGCCTCAGGGTAACTCCTGCCTGTATTCAGGGGTGCAGCCTCTGGCACTGCAAAATATTACTAGCTCCACTAACCAGGAAATCCACAAAATACACGACGCAAATTAAAATTTTTGGCTAAATACCGTTCTACCTTTGGGAGCTCAGAGAAGGCCATTAAGTTCTGGGCCTCTGCTTCTATATTTCAAACATGGGGGTGATACAGCCCACCTCACATTTTTGAGAAAATGTAGGCAGAATATGTGAAGCTCTCATCACAGCTCTAGCATATAATAGGCATTCAGTAAGTGTTTAATAAATATAGTTTCATCCTTCTACTTACTCCCAGTGCAAAAAACCTGATCTCACCTAAACTCTAATCCTTCAGGGTCTGCATCTTGACAGAGAAAGCCAACAAAAATCAGGAAATTAAATGCCAATTTGATTATTTAGTCCGGAGCTAAAATGAATCTATAAGAACCTGATAGCAGTCTTAAGAAAGTGTAACTACCCAGCACAGGAATGATTCAGGAAATTGCAGTCATATTTGAAAGAGATGAGAAACAGACTCAGAAAGAGAATCTCCATCTATATCGAGGAAGCATAATGTAGCTATTGAGGCTGAATTTGATGGCAGTACAAGCCATCATTCATTCCTCTCCATATTCTTCACTCACTAGTATTTAGTGATGTATATTGGGCCAAGCTCACTGTTTCCCTTAGAGAAACAATCAGGTCCTCCTTCAACTCCCCTTAGAGCAGGGGTAGGATGATGATCAGGCCAGGCCTTAGCACTATAAATATGTCAGCAGAACCCTCTAAAACAGTCCTTCAAATTGTGCATTTCCCTGGGGCAGGTTTCTGCTCCCCACTGGCTTTTTCTTTTCACCCTCATATCCTTTATATGATCCACAGTAGCTTTGTGGATAGAATTCAGCAGCTTGAGTTCACTCAATCACAGGATATACTCTTGTGAAACCCACTGCCTGCCATCATTTAAGTAACTTAGTTTTCTCCACCTTTGAAATAGAAATATAGATTTCTCATTCCTTGTAGAGAATTGGTATATAATACTAAAGAAACAACCTAAAGCTTTTGGGTAAGTGTATAGACTCTACCAGGTATTTTTGAAATTATTGTTATTCACAAGTCTGCTTTTGACTATTACCTCCTTTGACATTCAAAACTAACATCTATTATCTACTGAGTTTTTCCACTTGGCAACTTTTCAGGATTTGTAAAGCTCCCCATAGTTTTCTTGTTTATCATGCCCTATGTGGTAATTCCAGCAGGGGCAAGAAAAACAATTTGGAAAATTGGCTGGTCTTGACAGGAAGGTATTGATTTAACCCAGTGAGCAGATGGGTTGATCTGCTGATCCTGTCTCAAACTCCGAATATCTGGGCAAAAACCCTTTCTTTTCTACACCTGCTTACTTGACATGTTTTGCTTACACTTGTCTGTTTGAGAGACAATAGAGGACTAGAGTTTGGGGTGTCACTGCTCCATGGGGTAGGACTAAGGAACCCTGCAGGACAGGATTTCCTAACTGGATTTACATTACTGCTCTCTCAACTTTGCTGGAGTTTGGGTAGTCCTAGTCTCACTTTTACAGACAAAGACACTGAGGTTCAGAGAAGTCACACAGCATGTCTCTCTTGCCTGAGGGTTTCATCCTAGGCGAGTTCACTATGGATTTGGTGAGATCAAGTAATGACAATGGAACGTTCTAAATGTTCTGTGGTAAAAAGGTTTATACCCTGCTTTATTCTCATGGCGACAGGTCGTACACTAGAATCAGTCTGCATCCAGTAGTCTGCAGGTCTATAACCCACCTCTGTCTCTGCCTCCATCCAGGGCACTGGGTGGACCTCTTTATATAGTGACTCAGTCAATAACAGCTTATTGCCTATGGGTGTGGAAGTATTAGCCTAGCAGTAAGCCAATTACATCATCAAGTAGTTTAGGGTCAGGGGAGGATCCTGGCCATAGGAACTTCCATTTTCCCCATGATGCCCAAGGTAACCAGTTAACAAAGAGAATAAAAACACAGATCTGTCTGGCAGTTTAATCACCTGCGTCCACCCCCATGGTGGATTTCTGGAATTACGTCCTCCTTTTGTTCCACCTGAATCTGCACATGCAGCCCTATCTACAGATCCCCAAATGTCTTCCTAGCTTGATCAAGTATGGCTCTCCCAAGAGGCCTAGGAGCTAAAGACTTCTTTAGGATCCACTTTTCTCCCATCCTGCTGTCATTATTAACATCTGTGAAGCTCCCTGAAGTGTACAGGTTATTTTTGCATATCTCTTTTACTCTAAACTTCACAACAACTTTGTGAGATAGGAAAAGCAAGAATTGTTTCCATTTCCCTTTTGAAAACTAGGCTGAGAGAGGTTGAATGACTTATGCAAGTCGGGGGGGAGGTTCCTGTTGGAACCCCAGATGTCAGCCCCAGGCCCTATCAGCCAGTAAGTGGAGGATTGAGACACTCATCCTGGCTCTCGGACCCCAGGCCCTGTGCTTCTTGTCCTGTAGTGCCTGCCTTTGGTATCACACCCCAGAGGGTACCAAAGTCACATACATGACTCATTGCAGCCACACTGAACATTGAATGAAGTATATGCCCACAGAGTTCTCTGGGCTCATTGTGGGAGTGTCCTGCCACTGTAGGAATTGGAGATGAGAAGTTGGTGAGACTCTGAGAACATGGGAAAATGGTTTGGGCCCAGGACCAGAAGCTTGTTGGCAGCATCTCTGGAATCTGGAGGTAGCTCTGGTGGGAAGAGGAGGCTACGTCTTGCGGAGCTGGGAAGTGTGGAGGTGCTCTTCCCTGACAGGACTCTGTCTCCCACCACTGTCTTCCCCCTCTCTGTGCAGAACACACTTGGGGTCTTCAGGAGTGACCAGAGATGACGCTTTCCTCACAAAAACCAGGAACATCCAGAAACACAGTCTTTCTCAGAAACAGAAGACACTGGTGAGTGGCAATGTCCTGTTGGAACCCCAAACGTCAGCCCCCAGACCTATCTGCCTCCCTCTGTACAACCCAAAAACATTACCCTAGAGGTAATGTTTGTGAGAAGTGTGGCTCACAGAGGCTCTGAGGTGGGGGTGTGTACACTGGCTGCATCTCATCTGAAAAGCCTTCCCAGACCTCCTGGGGTAGAGAGAGACTCAGCCCCTGTCCACAGACACCCATACCCCGGGGCTAATCATTCTGTAATGGACCTCATTTCTTCATCCAGCTTGCCATGTGCCAAGCTAGGCGCTAGTGCTGGGATGGTCACACCAGGTCTTCCACGGTCCTTCCAGGCTGTGACTGTATCTTTCTGTCTTTATGGCCCTAGCACCTGATAGGGTATTTGAGTGGTAGGCATATGTTGAGAGCTCCATAAATGCTGTGAGTAGGTGTGTGAAGGCAGGAGTAAAGGGATGTTCCGTCATTGTGTTGTTGGCTCTGGGTTAGAAGTGAAGACTCTACCAGTCTCAGGAAAGGTCCTTCCTCAATTCCTGTTCTTTAAAGTTTTTATATGAAAAATGAATGCTGTCTTATTAGGTACTTTGGGGCTTTTGTCAATATGATCATAGGATTGTTATTATTTAATCAGCAAAGAGCCATTGTCCAAATTTCACAGCTGAAATAACCTGTAACTCTAGTTCACAGTGGAGCCCTGTGCGCTGTATGATGATTTTCTTTGTGTGAGTGTGTCCCCTGTGGAGGATTTGGGAATGCATGGGCCACACACTGTGAGGTTGGGGGCCTCCCAGCATGAGGACCCTGACTCCAGGGAGGGAGAGGGGATCAGCGTAGACTCTCCTTCGAGATGAAGCACAGCCACGGCCCCTCAAAACCCAATGACTTGGGGCACCTGCTCCCAGCTCACCTAGCCACCACTCACCCTGGACCTGTGGGGCCAAGCTTTCTTCTGCTCAGGCGCCGCCGCCATTCTCAACCACCAGGGGACGCTGTTCTCTCCCGCCAGCCTTCCACGCTCCCCAGGGCCGCCCTCTCCATTTTCCCCTGCAGGGGGAAGCAGAGAGCATAGGAGCCCCCAGAACACCTCTTTCCAGCCACCCGTTGGTGGAGGCCCTGTTAATAACCAGACCTAGAAGCTGCATTTGCCTGGGAGTCAAAGTAGGGTGACCACATTTTCTCCTAGCAAAAATGGCAGACAGAACACAATGACTGGTCTTTAAAAGTCTGAAAACTTTATAATTAACTCGCTTCCTTGTCAACTTCCTAGGTGTTGTCCAGGGTTACTTTTGCAGTTTTACAAAAAAAAATCACACCAATTTGACAGTCTCATTTTTTTTCCTGACTTGATTTTTAACAGTTTTTCTCCCATTTTCCAGTGTGTCTATTTCTACTTTTATTTCTTATTTTTAAAAAGTGTATTATTTATAGTTCTATAACTTTCCAAGCAACCAGAGGTTTAAGGCTTTCTTTCCTAACAGCAAAAGTATTTTAAGCAATTGAAATAAATACCTATGAGTGATTCTCTGATCATATCCCAGATACTGATATGGAATTTTAGCATTTACATAACATGTTGTATTTTAAGTAATAAATAGGTCAGGAAAAATGTGGATTTATTTTTAAATTTCTAAATGGCTAAGGGCCACATAGAGAGCTCTAATATTGAATTCAATTTTATTTTAAATTTGAAAGTAATTTATGCATATGATAGAAAATTTTGAAAAATGTAGAATTATAGAAACATAAGCATCCAATGGCCTATCATTAGAGAATAATAATTGCTGATAACCTTTTGGATTATTTCCTCTATCTTTCCTGGTCTTTCATTTTACCTGGTTGTGCTTATTCCCTAATTTAAGGCTTTACTTAACGCTTAGAGCTATAGCATTAGCATACTTCCATATTAAGGTTCTCCGTAAACATTTCATGGCTGCATAACAATCTTCTATTTTTGGACACTTAGGAGTTTTCTAATTTTTCCATAGTCATAAGTAAGGCATTGAGGACCACCCTTGTGCATAAAGCTGCTGCCCCACGTCTGGCTCCCACTACACCTGGAGACCCCAGACTTGGCCTCAGCCAGCCTGCTCTCCTTGGGCATCAGACTCTGTTCATATCTCTTCAAAACTCCTGTTTCCCTGGGGTTGGTGCTACCCAGGCTGTCTTTACGTTTCCTGACCTCCCCTGACACACACATCCTATCTCAGAGTGACCTCAGCTCCTCGTATGCACACATTCAAGCTTTACTGAACCTCACTGACAATTTCACTTCCTCCTCCAAGATGACCAGCCTCCCATGGCCTCCCCGTCCAGTCAGGGGTCCCCACCCTCCTGTAACCTGCATTGGCTTTGATCACTACCTGCTGACTTGCGATTATCCGCTCACTTATCACTCCACCTCCATCATACCCCCAGCTTCCCTCACATCCCTAGAACCCACAAGAGTCTGGCATGTGCTATGGACCCAGAAATCTTTGATAAATAAATGAATGACAAATGGATGAAATCTAGAAGTAGGCTTCACAGGGTCAGAGGATCACCTTTTTTTATGATTTGAGTTTTTTCATGAAAAGGTTAAAAAAAAAACCCATACATACGATTGCTTCTACTCCCTATCCCTGTTCAAGGTTCAAAATGAGATTGCACTGCTTCAGGACACCCCCCACCAAGCTCCCCCGCTCCCAGGAGGTACAGCCCAGCCACCTCCCAGGGTCCACAGCTCACCCTGCTGCATCTCTGCAGTGCTGTCTATGTGTCAGTTCAGGCTTCAGGCTGGGCCTGCCCTCCTCTGTCTCTGTGTCTTTAGCTTAACTGTGTTGTGGGGCCAAGGGCTGGTCCCAATTGGTACTCATATCTTTTTTCATAGCACAAGTATTCAATACTCACTGACATACCTACAGAAGAGAAGAATAACTCACCTTTACTGAATTCCTAGGAGGTACCTGAGTCTGTGTAAACCACCCTGTATGCCTTCTCATTGCATCCTCACTTCGATCCAGTGCAGTAAGGAGTAAAACCATCCCCATTTTATAGATGCAGAGGCCGAGGTGCAGAAAAATTAAACCTGTAGTCACACAGCTAACAAGGGATATCTGAGGTTTCACTTGAGCCCTCTCTGACTCTGGGCCCACAGTCTTAACTATAAACTGTATTTAGAGTGTTGGGAAAAAAATCAGAAGCTGAAGGAGGAGGATGGAGAGGACCATCAGGAAGGGGATCCATGTTGCCATGGTAACCCCACTTGTCCTTTTCTGCACTCCTGTCAGTTCTCCATTGACAGCTACCTGTCCCCATGGCCCACATACTCCAGTGGCCAGACCATTCTGCATAATCGAAAGCCCTGTTCAGATGACTACCACCAGCGAGCAGGGTAAGCCAGGGTCAGCCTGATGGTGGGCGGGCTGGTACAGACCCAACACTGGGCCCAGAGACAGCACAGGGATGTGTACTGTCCTAGAATGAGGGTACAAGGGCCTGTGCATGCCCATCACATCTCATCCCACCACCCCTGCAGCAGCTACCAGCAGCAGCCTCTGGGCATTACTAAGCCAAGGTACCTGGAACAGCTGGAGAACTACCTACGCAAGGAGCTCCTTCTGCTGGATCTGGGCACAGATTCTGCCCAGGAGCTGAGGCTGCAGGTTAGAGCCACCAAATAACTGTGGGGAGGACAGGAGGAGACGTGGGAAGAAACCCAACTTACCAGGACTAAGCACTTCAGACGTTCAGAAGGACAGACCAGCCTCTCCCAGCTCTTTTGGGTTTCCCTTCATGGTAAGAGAAATATGTTCTATGACAAAGCCAGTGAGTAGGCAAGGCTGCCAGAATGGAACCAAAACCTTCCTGAGGCTTGAGTTTCCTCACTGGAGTCAGGTGGACTAGATGCTGTCCCGAGTCTCTTTACCTCTGCAACCCTCAGTGCCTAGCCTGGACATCAGTGAATGGAGCCTGAGTCCTGTCAGTTGGGCAAGAAGGGGTCATCCGTACAGTGTCCACCAGCCCCGTGATGACAGCCCCAAGCTGAAGGAACTTAGACCAGATACACAAGGAAGAGAGAAATCTAGAAGCATCCTAGACTCCGGTACATATTAGAGAGGGAATCACCAAATCGCTGTTCACACAGGGATAATGACAGGGAATCCCTCACTTCTGCCTTAGTTACTGACAGAAGCATTTTCTGAGCACCGCTGTGTGCCAGGCCCTGGTCAGGACCTCACATGCAGGCTCCTAAAATGGAAGTACCTCACCGATAAAGAAGAAGCTCAGAGAAAGCATACAGCTGCAAAGTGGTGGGGCTGGGATTCAAAAGGGCTGACTCAGGAGCCTGTGCTCATTCCAGTATGCAATGCTGCTTGTGTGTCCAGGTGGGACTGGAAACCACACCTCTACCTGGAGGTCAGAGGCAAGGCTAGAGCCTTCAATCTCCTCCTGCCCCCACAGGGCTAGAAGATGGGGGGGTGCCGGTGAGAGGCCAACTGAGGCACGGTGCATGGATGAGGCTGCCTGCTTGGAGAGCCAGAGAGGGGGCTTAAGGGTAGAGGGGGAGGTCATGACCCAGGTCACATGTCAGGCTTCAGAGACAGCTCTAGGAGCCCTCCAGAGAGCAGTTGAGAGGAATAGAGCTGCCCCTTAAGCGCCTTGTTACTGTGAGACCCAGGGGGTGCCTCGGGCATTTATTTGAATGTGTGTCACTTGGCAGCTTCATGCTACAACACTCCTAAGTCAAGCAAAGAAAAATCAGTTTCCCCAAGCTTATCAGCAGCTGTAGGCTAGGAAGTGACAGGTCCCCTTTTCTTGCCAGCCTTATAGAGAGATCTTTGAGTTCTTCATAGAGGACTTCAAAACCTACAAGCCATTGCTATCCTCCATCAAGAATGCATATGAGATGATGCTGGGTAAGACGGTAGCCTCTCCACTTGGGCCTGCCTGGAAAGGGCAGAGAGGATCCTACTCTGAGCCAGGGCTGTGCAACAAGGCTGGGGCAGCTGCTAATGGAATCTCGACATTACCAAACCCTGCTCAGCCCTTTTGTTTACACTGTCCTGTGATGGGGCACTCCAGGGGATCTCCAGTCCTTGGGAAGCATGGGGGGACAGTAACTGTAGGAAACAGAGCACCTTTTCTATTCAGAGTGAAGCCCAGGAGGGAGCAAGCACTTCTGGGAAGTGAGGAGGCTCCCCCAACCAAGCTTAGGAGGGGCCAGGCACTGTACAGCTTCAGAACTAAAGGCTGTAGGGAGAAAGGGCATAGGTGAGACCTCAGCTATTATCTAGACTCTATCTTTGGTTTAAAAGCAAGTGCAGGAAGGCCTTAAGCAGGGGCCATGCTTTGAACAAGGCATGCATAGAATCCTGGAGTTTGCAAGGGATGTAGCCACTCACTGTGACCTTAGGATCAGTGTCTTCTAGCTGTGTGTTCTCCATGGTGCCAAAGGGACTCTCCTACCTGCTTAGCCCACCAAAGGGAGAAAATTCGGGCTCTGGAGCCCCTGAAGGCCAAGCTTATCACTATGAATGAGGACTGCAATGAAAAGATCCTAGCCATGAGGGCTGAAGAGAGACACGAAATATCCATGCTGAAGAAAGAGAAAATGAATTTGCTAAAGCTCATTGACAAAAAGAATGAAGAGAAGATCTCATTACAGAGTGAGGTGAATGGGAGTAATTTGGTGACCAACTCCCTGGATTTCTTAGGGATGACCTAAGGCCTGGGCACTAAGGTGACCCCCTAATTCCTTCCACCCTTCTGTCTGGAATGACACACTGAGCCACCTCCTCCCCTCAGAGCTCCTGCTGCCTCCACATTCTGCCCTCCTCTTTGACTCAGCACTGGCTTGGTGTGCTCCCAAATGCCAGCAAAAGCCTACTCCTTGGCTTCCTTTGCTGGAAGCATTGGCACTTTGCTGGACTTGAAGGAATGCTCACTCTCCTTTTTCCTCCACCTTCCCTGTTCCCAGGCCCTGATACGGCCACCCAGCACCCATCCTCTCCCCTGTGGTGACTGGCTGCATAAGAAGATCCAGAGGCAGCCCCTGCAAATGCAGCTACCTTCCCAACAGGTAACCAAATTGAGGAAGAACTTGGCTGAGGAGTACTTGCGTTACCTCAGTGAGCGCGATGCCCGCAAGATCCTCATTGCAGACCTGAATGAGCTACGGTACCAGCGAGAGGACATGTCATTAGCCCAGTCCCCAGGTAAGCCTGAGGTAGGTGTCTCTCCCCTGAGGAGCACTAGAGAGAAGTCTGGCTCTCACCCCTCACCTCCACTTATTCAACTCTCCTAATATCTGCTCATTCTGTGCTCATTCATGAGGGGAGATGTCCCTGTTGACACCTGGGTGTGGATCTTCTGAGCTGGACTGACAATCATAGATTCAGTGTTAAAGTAGGAAACAACTGTTGGCAGCTGAAGCAGCCTGGACTTCCTGAGGTCGCAATAGGCCTGGTGCCCCATGTCCTGGTCTTCTCTATTTAAGCACAAAGCTCTAGGCTGGTAGCTGTGGGAAAGAACCAGGGGTTCCTAAGCAGGAAGAGAAGGATCTGGGACATGCACCAAGGGACACTCTAACTCTGCCCTGGGCTACAGGCCCCACAGCCATGGTGACACAAGCTGGCGGGCCCCCTTGCAGGCATCTGGGGGGAGGACCCCATGAAGTTAACACTGGCTCTGAAGATGGCCCGGCAAGACCTGACCCGTACACAGATGGAACTCAACACCATGAAGGCCAGCTTTGGAGATGTGGTGCCCAGGAGGGACTTTGAAGTGCAGGAGAAGACCAACAAGGATCTTCAGGAACAGGTGCTGGTGGGCAGGCAGGGCAGGCCTGGTAGGGCAGGGTTCTGTAAGGGGGGGTTAGTGAGGATCAGTCACCTTGTCCACAGCTAAACAGCCTTAGAGACGACTACAAAGAGGTCTGCAGGGAGCATGAGATTCTGCTGCAGCTGCACATGAGCACGGTGAAGGAGCGGGACCAGTTTTATTCTGAGCTCCAGGAGCTCCAGCGCACCTCCACGCCACGGCCTAACTGGGCCAAGTGTGAAGGTACTGGTGGCCTCTGGGGCCCCAGGACCTGCTCAGGTGTGTGGTCTAGACTCCAGCTCCCTCTCCCCACCTGTAGATGTGGTGGCTGGGGGCCCAGATCGCTGGCAAATGCTGGCCAAAGGCAAGAACAGTGACCAGCTGGTGGATGTGCTCCTGGAGGAGATCGGCGAGGGGTTCCTCCGGGAGAAAGACTTCTTCCATGGTCTGGTTAGTGGGAGAGTCCCTGGGCTCAGGAGGCTTGGAGCTGGAGGCAGAACGGCCAGGCCTTGCTGCTGAGACCAGAGGTTCCAGGGGAACTATCTGGGGCTCTGCCCTGGTTGAGGGTGTGGCCACAGGTGGGCCCAGAGATTAGCTGACATTCTCCCTTTCAGGGCTATGGAGAATCCATCCCACCTTTCCTTCGGTTTGATGGCACTGTGGAGAACAAGAAGCCAACCAAGATGGATGTGGTAAACCTCCTCAAGGATGCCTGGAAGGCACGTCTTGCTGAGGAGCAGGTCAGATCTCACCAGCCATTTGGCCTGGAGTGGCCTCCAGAATCCTCTGGGGGCTTCCTTCCGAGAGCTACGCAGCAGGGAGGAAGGACAGCCAACCATGGGGCAGGCCTACCAAGCAGTCTTCTCCTCCACCCTGCAGAAAGAGAGTTTCCCAGATTTCTTCTTCAATTTCCTGGAGCGTCGCTTTGGACCTAGTGATGCCATGGCTTGGGCTTATACCATTTTTGAAAATATCAAGCTCTTCCACTCTAATGAAGTCATGAGTCAGTCCTATGCAGTCTTGATGGGAAAGGTGAGCTTGGGCCAGAGCCGCTACCCTTTGTCCTCAGCATAGGCCAGCTCTGTCCCTACCACTCAGAGAAACAGCAAGTCAGTCAATGCTTCCCTCCCTGTAGAGGAAAGAGAGCGTGTACATCAAGCATAAGGAGACAATAGCTCATCTGCTGAAGGAAATGACAAATGTTGACAGTCAGAATGAGGGGCTACTAACCATGGAGCAGTTAAGGTGAGAGGCCGGCCCTGCCACCCCAAACTCCTGCCCTATGTCTCCTCTAGCCAGGCTTCCAGGTGTGCAGGGACAGCGGAGCCTAGTGGGAAAGGCCACGGAATCAACACATGCTGCCCCTTTGAGCACTAGTGGGGCTGGCAGAGGGGTACAGAGAAATGGGAGGGCAGGCCATAGCCAGGACCCTGTTGGCTCTCGTTTCTCCCCACAGGACTGTCCTCAAGAGCACCTTCCCCTTCAAAAAGGAAGAGAAAATCCATGAATTGATGGAGGCAGTGGGCTGGGATCCCAACAGCAGCAACACAGACTTGTTCCAATATTGCTCATTGTTTATGGAGGTGAGTAGGATGGAGAGAGGGTCCAGGAACCTGCCATAGCCTCTGCTGAACCCTAGCCAATGTGCCCTCACTGTGCCTATGGCCCCCTGCAGGATGAGGAGGGCCAGAGTGTGCCCTTTGTTCAAAAGCTGTGGAAACAGTACCTGGATGAAAAGGATGGGTACTTACAGGAGCTAAAGCACCAGCTGGGCCTGGAACTGTAAGTGATCCTGGGGCCCTCAGGCCCACTTAGCCATAGGTATGTCCCACAGACTGGGCCACAGTGTGGCATCCCAAGCCTCTGGGTCTCCCCATGCACTGAGCTTGCTGCTGGGCAAGCTATATTGTTTAAGCCCAGCAGAGGCCATCTTGGGTCTGGGATGCAGAAAGGGTCAAGGGCTATCTCTCTCTTTCCTTGTGGGGTAGCCATGATGAGGTGTCCCTACCCAAAATACGTGAGGCCCTGATGAACATCGATCCCAGCCTGGACAAGGAGACCCTGAACAGCTACTTGAGCCAGGCCTTCCAGCTTCCTGTGACAGAACTACCAGAGGATGTGAAGGAAGGGGACATTGTCCTAGGGCTCTGGACTGCCCTGGAACGACTTCAGATGGCTGACATCAGGCGCATGGGGCCTCGAGATACAGCCTGAGCTAGCCCCTGACATTTATAAAATTGTTTGTCTGAACCTGTGCTGTTCTCCAGATTATGCTGGCAAGTCAAGAAGGGGGTTGGTCCCTGCCTGGCTTGCACCAAAACGACAGCATATTGTTTGTGATACTTTATTGATGCTGGGAATGGGGAAGGTGGATGGGGGGGGGGCAGGGTGGTGAGGATACCTGGAAGAATATGTGGGGACAGGCAAGGTGTTGAGGCCTGGACACTACTGAGCAGGGAAGACAGAATTGCCACTGAATGCACAAGGGATGAGCAGCTGTCGGTAGTCCAGGGGCAGGTGCCGCTCCACAAGCACGTGCAGGGAGACTTGGTCGGTGACCAAGCCCTGCCTGCAGCAGAGGAAAGAGAATCAGCATCAGCGCTCCCACACCCAGCATCTCCCTGCTCCCACCCACTTACCGTCGCATCAGCAACTCCAGGTCCTCTGGCCTCACAGTCTTACGGCCAGCATGAGCAGCAAATACCTCTAGGTCATCACAAAGATGCTGGAAATACTTGTCCAGGCTGCCAAAAAGGTTGGGGTAGACCAGACTGAACAAACTCTTCATGATCTGAGGGGCTCCTCAGTGCCTCCCAAACATCCAGGACTCACCACTTCTCTGCCATCTCAAGGGCTTTCTTCTCCATTGGCATTTTAGCATAGAAGCTAAGGAGTTTCATATAGTGGCTCAGTCCAGTCTTGTAAGGATCTTGACGGGGCCTGGGGCCAGGGGTTCGGGCCCTGGGAGGAAGCCTGACCAAGACAGGCTCCAGAGGCTCTGAAGATAAGCTGGGGGCATGAGTGGACAGTTAGCTGAACTGTTGCCTGAATAGGCCCCTAATCAAAGATGAATCTTGTTGGCTTCTGCCAAGATTAGGACCCTTATGCTCCTTGGCCAGCCTGGAACAACAGCTCCAACCACCTGCTGGGGGGCAGTGGGGCCACAGGGCCACAGGTCTGGTCTTTCCCTGTGGTCCTGAGGAGGCACAGTCAGGACCCAATGTCCCAGGCTAGCCTCACCACACAAACTGGTATTAGTTCAGGTCCATGACCCCCAGGCCTTGGTGTAGACATTCCCGTCCCTCAGCCCATGGCTGCCTGATTCTGCTGATCCTCTTCCAGGTACCCTTCTCTGACTGCATACTGATCTAGGCACTTCCCCCTTCCCAGGCTCCTCTAAGCCCCTGGAAGCAGGCACCAGGATGACAGACGTGCCTTTGGTGAGCCCCACCCAGCCCACCTCAGGGTGCTCTGCTGAGTAATCATATGCCATGACTACGGGAAGGGGTATAACCCTGTGGTGCCCAATGCCATCCTCAGTGACAACCCCCTTCCCAAGAGGTCCCTATGGAGCAAGGTCATGGAATCTTACACTGCAGTGCTCGGTGGTGGGGCTGGCTCAGGAAACTGAAGTTGCCTGGCCTGAAGAAACTCGGGGGTGCTGGAAGCCAACTCTGGACTTACTGTAGAGGAAAGGCAGGGTTACAGAGGGCTTGGCCTATTGCACCCTAACTTGAAGGCCAACAGCCTCCTTGTCCTGTCCCTCAAGGGCTCCATCTAGCTCTAGCCAGCTAAGCAAAGGGCCCCTCAGATTTCCCTGGCCCAACACCATCTGTACCCAGAAACACAACCCAGGTAAGCCCCTCCTCCAAGACCAGGGACTGAACACAGCTGCCATTTACCCACTCACCTGCTGATCCCTGCATGGGGCCCCTTACCTGTCCTACCAGAGGTGACCTCATCCCCTGAAGATCCTTTTGGCTCCTTGGCCTCAGCAGCCCCCCAGGATCCCTCTGCTTCTGTCACCTCTGTGTATCCCTCAGGCTCTTCTGCTCTGGCAGATCCTTGTACTCTGGTTGCCTCCTTGGCTTGGCTCACACCCAAGCTTTCTTCCATCCTCTCCTCGATTTCCTTACCAACTCCATCCTGTAAGGACTCTACATCTCTAGAGATACTACTGCTGGCAGGGATTGGGGAGCCCATATCAAGAGCATCAGCCTTCTCTGCCTTTCCTGTCAGAAGCTGGGCTGGTTTCCCAGGACCTAAAACAAAGGGAGAAAATATAGGCTAGAGAAGCAGTAGGCTAAGGCTGTAGCTCTGAGAAGGGTAAAGACAGAGTAGTAAAACCCAGCCTAAGCCATCAAGGAGAGAAGGCCAGAGGCAACCCCCAGGCATTAGTGTGGAGTCTCCTGGCCCAACAATGACTCTGCTCTTTGAGGGAGGAGATGCCAACAGTCAGGGAGACCTGAGGAGCACACATATGGGCCTGAGGAGGGAAAACCACCAGTGCCAACTCTCATCTTGGCCCCAAGCCACATGATTCACATACTCACTGTTATGCTGCAGCCCAGGCCCACTGCTCTGTGTCCTGCGACTGACAGCTCTCCTAGCATCTTTAACCCCAGTGTGAGAGGGGCAGGGCAGAGAGTGGTGCACACTGGGGGAACGGCCAACCAAGGGCTGGGAGAAGGGCTGGGTATCCTCCAGCACGGTGTCCGTTGGCAGGGTAGCAACTGGAGTTCTGGTGCTGTCACCTGGAAATCAAGGGCCAGTTGGCACTGTTTTCCTGGCCTACCTGCTGCTACCCAGTCCCAGGGCGTGGGCAGGAGGCCCTATGAGTCTTCCCTGAGTGACCTTCAGAGAGAGGACTATATAGCATTCTAAGTCTTATCCCCCTCCCATAGCTCTCCTTGCTTACCTTCCTGCTCCTTGCACTGGCTTTCCCAGGCTCCACAGCTTGGGTCACCCAAACTGCTCAACCCTGTTTCCACTCTCCAGTTCTCATGCTGCTCCCTCTGCAACCCTCCTCTTATCCTGCTGAACTTGACTTGTCTTTTGGAATCAGGCTCCCAAGTCAGCTCTGACTGACCAGATGATCCTGAAACCTGTCCTCTTTCAACCTACAAGAAACCACACCTCTTTCTACCCTCAGCCCTGCAGCTCCTCAAGGCTATAGCATCCTGGAAGACACTGGGACTTAGACTTGGCCCCACCAAGACAAGGGGCAACTTATGGAGAAAAAGCAGAAACTCCTCATAGATCTCCTGGCCAGACTTGCTCACGGTCCTTGATATGACAGGAGAGCAACACTGGACTCAAGAGCGCCTCCTATCTGTCATGGGGGAAGACCTTTCCCCACAGGCTAGAAGAGAGAAATCCCAACCTTACCTGGAGGAGCCAAGGCCAGAGAAGCATCTCGCAGATCCTGCAAAAATGCACCCACATCTACAGCTCGGCGGGTGGGAGGTCTGCGGGCCAAACCAGGCCTCTGCACTGACTGTGGCTGGAGAGGTGTGGCAAAGGTCAGGTTGAGGGAACTGGTGGGAGGGAGAAGGCACAAAGGAAAGTCGGGTACCTGAGGGCCAGTTTCCCAGAGAATTTCTCCTTTTGCCATGGGATCCTTATCTCTTAGAGCACAGCCACCAGGCTGTGAAGCTAAAACTGGCAGGGAGCTATATGATCAGATACCATTCCAATCAGCACCTCCCACCCCACCAAACCCCAGAACAGGCAACAGTACCTAGTGAGGGAGGAGGCATCAACATACCCATGAGGCTCTGCAAGAGAATGTAAAAAGAGACCACAGTAAGTTGCTAGGCTCCTAAGAGCCTTCTTATAGGTTTCCTCAGCCAGAAGACAGGAGTGAGAGGGTAGACACAGGTGTTGCCCAGGGCCTCACCTTGAGAGAGAGGCAGCCCCTGATCCATTCCTTGCTGAAACCCTGACAGTCTCAGCCTCTGCCTCCTTCTGCCAGGAACCAGAAGACCTGGAGCCATGGTTGTGGGGGGCTCAAGTTCAGGAAGTTGCAGCTCCAGGCTACAAAGATGGAGCTTATCTCAGGCCAAGAAGCCCAATACTTTTGGGGCCCCTGAGAGGCTGCTGATCAGAGCTGTCCAATAACCCACCCCAAGGAGGAATTCACTGTACACCTGCTCCGACTGCTTTCCTGTCTGGAAGGCTGAGCCACCTGTGGTGCTGGCACTGGCTTCACCACTGACTCTGGCATCACGATGGAAGATTCTGGGGCTGCAGAAATGGCAAGGAGAGGGTGGGGTGGGTGGGGCAGGGTACCCTGAATGAGGGGTACCACCGGACTGCTGCCTAACTCTGGCCTGTAGGTCAGTGCTCACTCACCAGTCAGTAGAATGTTCTTTAGCAGAGTCCGGGGTGTCTGTTCCTCCAGGTGCCCACTGGCTTGAACGGGAACCAATCTGCCAATAGACTTTAGGCAAAAGCACCAAACAATCAGTCTGTTCCCTTACCTTCAGATTCTCTCAGGGTGGGCTCCAGAGCAGAGCTAGACCACCCCCTGAAGGCAGCTGAAGCCTTGTAGTGGTCAGTGGGCTGGGCACGTACCCTGATTCTATGGGAACACCGTCGGGCAGTTGTCTTTGTTTGTCTGCTTAGCCTCCTAGAAGATGGTGTTTCAAGCAGGGCCCTCTGGACACTGTGTAAAGAACAGCAGTTCTGAGAATTAAATCAGGAGGGGGAACCAGAGGATGCAGAGACATGCCTTCATCAAGGATTTTGGCCTGAAGCCATTTCCCTCAAGTTTTCTGAGTCCAGAAACCACTTGCCCCTCCCATATCCCCTGTTCCCAGTTCTACATCAACAGGGTTGTGGATGAAGGGGAGCCCAGGGGGTATGGAAACAGAGAGGGAATACAGTGACGCAGCTAGAGAGAGGAACTGGGGAGGGCTTCACAGAGGTGACTGGCAGAAATAGAGGTTAGTCATACAGTTGGAAGAGTATCCATTTTAGATGTTAAAATAACAATCCAAAAAGGATATTTAAATATTTTTAAACCTTCTAAGTACTTGTCAGAGTCTGACAGCAACCACCACATGGACTACTTCAGTTCTAGTCTCTCCAGTCCAATCCCTCTCAGATTCCAGAACCACGTAAATATTCCCAGGGCACTGCTCCCACCTCATCATGTACTGTTCTAAAACCTATAATGAATGATTTCCCAGTGCCTCTAAACAAACTGCATTGCCTTAGTCTAGCAGATGCCAACTTCCACAATCTCA